ATCCCTCAAAGAGAAATAAACCAGACAGATGAGTTGGTGTTTTCATCCAGTAAGGGTGGAGGGAGAGAGAACTCAAGTAGACGAGGGGTCCCAAGTAATGAAAAGATGATGACGGGAATCCAGAAAGAAGGAAGTGTGAGATAGATAACAAACAGTCTGTATAGGACATAGAATTCTGCCAGGATCAGAATGATCATAGATATGGCATATAGAATAAAAGGTGTGACCACCTTCTCTAGCAACAGAAGTCTTGGGGAAAAAGGATCAGCCAAAGTAAAGAAGGTAAGTGTGGTGGTAGAAAGTTTTGAAGGAATCTATGGCATAGTCACCAGAAGGACAGCAACCAAAGGCAAGAAGGAAATAGGTTTGTGGAGAGAGATGACAGAGAAAATGGCAAAATGTTCTAAAGGGTTACAGGTGAGAGCATGAAGAACCACATTCAGGCCTCAACCAGTCAAGGGCGTAAGGTGTGGGGATATATGGATTAAGAAAGAATGGAAGGGGTGGTAAGGACAGGTGCAGAAAAAAATCTGCTGAATCAAGAAAGGCAGAATGTGGTATATAGTTCTGCTCAATAATCTGTAATGGTAGAGACTGACAAACAACGATCAAAGAGCCATGTCAAGAAAGAGGTCAGGTGATATAAGGTAGACTAGTCAGGGAGGAAGTGGTGAAGGATAGACCAACAGCAATAAGCACACAGATTAGTACATAAAAGAGATGGAAGGACAAACAATTTTACAGAAAGAAAGCTACACAATCAGATAGTCTGGCTAGATGAGCAATGAACCATACAAATCCCACACATGAAGATGAAGGTTCTTGATGACAGAGATATGTGTGATTGGATCAGAAAGGAAAAGAAAAGAGGGCCTTTGATGAGAAAAAACAGAGTAATGGAAACAAAGATTGGGCAGGCCAGTAATGGACTATCAACAGGACTCTGAATCAATACAAGGATCTGAGAAAGGTGGAAAGGAAGACAGACATAAAGGAAGTGAAAGTCCAGTCCTGACTGGGAATATTAAGGTACCAGAGTACAAATGAAAGTTTGGTATTACAGGGTGTGGCAAAGGCATCTATTTGGGGAGTTCCAAGTTGTGAACAGATCCAACTGAAGATTTGAGAATGGAGGGGGCCATTCCATAGGTAAGATATGGTGTTGATAAGAAAGATTGTCTGTGATGAGGTTCAGTGGGCCTTAAACATTATAGACCATTAATCCCACCCAATTGGAATGAGCCCAAGACAGGAGGTCCAAAGTCCAAAAGCAGGGGTCCTGGAACAGGTGCCCCCTTAGCAGCTGATATGATACACAAGCACGGAGCTGTCCAAGTGGATCATTACCAAATGATCCACCGGAAGGGGAAGAAAATGAGAATATGCCTGACAGACAGCAAGCAGTTTGGTATGTAGCAAATGCTCTTCCAGGGTCCAAGAACCAACAGCAATGAAGTATAAATGAGGAAAAGAGCATGTGTGATTGTATCAGAACGGAATATAAAAGAGGGTCTTTGATGAGAGAAGACAAAGTAATGGACTCGTGGAATAAAGATGTGAAGATCCAGTTTGTGAAGAGTTGGGGAATGCTAGAAGTGGTGTTGGAGTGGTATAGCCACCAATCAAGATCTTACATTAGAGATGTTTTGTTTGTTTCTTTATTTCCCGCAAAGCTACAGGACGGCTATCTGTGCTAGCCGTCCCTAATTTGGCAGTGTAAGACAACAGGGAAGGCAGCTAGTTATCACCACCCACTGTAAACTCTTGGACTACTCTTTTACCAATGAATAGTGGGATTGACCGCCACATTATAATGCCTCCATGGCTGAAAGGGTGAGCATGTTTGGTGGGATGGGATTCTAACTCACAACCAGCAGATTGCAAGTTGAGTTCCCTGACCACCTGGCCATGCCAGGCCCCTTCAGTAGAGAAGGAGGGTTGATAAAGACAGTGGATCCCCAGAAAGGTTTCATTGGTCATACTATGACCACTGTATAGGATGCATATGTGTGTGTGTATGGCCAAGTGGAATGATATGATCCACAGAAGCCATGTCATTAAAAGAGATAGAACCTTTTATGCCAAAGCAGTAGGTGAGGCACGAACTTTGGTGACCAAATGCTTGGGGTCTTGTAAACAAACTGGAGAAGATTGGGCATGGCTGAGGTAAGAGAATCTCTGAATGGATGAGATATTGGGATGTGGTGAGGAATGACTTGGAAAACTTGATGAGATGTTCTAAATGAGCAACTTTTTGAAGAAGAAAAGTGTGTTCTTGTGTGGGAATGGGCAAGGAAAAATCAGTCATCCAAATAGAAATGGAAATGCAGACCCAGACCTTGAAGATACCAATCAAATGCCCACATAATGCAATTAAAAATCTAAGGGTCCAACTGTATTCTGAATAGAAGGGAACGGAACTGGAAAATGTGATCCCCATGGATGAATCTTTAAAACATCGTGAGGATGGGGGGGATCAGAAGGAGTAGAAAGGCATCAGACACATCGACTTGGTCATCCACATGCTAGGTTGGAAAGACCAACAAAGAGAGAAAGAAATATCCATCCAAAATTGTGGGATGACTAATAAGTGATTGAAGAAGGAAAGGTCAATAATTATGCACTAGTGTCCCCAGTCTTTTCAGAACAAGAAAGAGGCAGGACTAATAATCCAGGAAGAGGTTGTGAACTTCCTTGATAGCCTGTCTCTCCCACAAATCCAGCACTGTTCTCTCCAGACATTGAAGGTAGACTAGACTGGATGTTGAAAAGCAACAGGTTGGGAAAGAAAAGGAGGGAGAAGAAAAGTGAAGGGAAAGAACTCGAAAACCCATCTGCCTGCAGATAAATGTGACAATAGGACAGCAAACCTGTTGGGCTGAACCAACTTGATGGCCACCAGTGTTTATACTGATGGGTGAGATGTCATGTGGAAATATGACATTAAAAAGTGGAAAGGCAAGGTATGAACAAATGAAAAACTAGGAAAAATTGATGATGGCAGCTTCAGCCTATGATCCAAGTGAATCAGGGACAACACCAAAAACCTGTGGACAAAGAAAAGGGTCAAAATGAAGATCCTAAAGGAAGGGAATCAGACCTGAGATAGTAGGGAGGGTATTTCTTCTCAAAAGGCCCACACAACAAAGGAACAAAGTGAGAAGAGAAAACGTAGAGGAGGTAGAATGGGGCAATGTAAAGAAGAGGGGAGAAATGTCTAGGAAGGGTAGTGATAAAGACTCAAAGTTGGGAAATTGAGCACTAGACAGATAAACAACAGATAATAAATCTACCCCAAACTGGCAAGTTAGACCCCAAAGACTGGGTGTCAAGGAACGGGAAGTATGAGTGACCATAACAAAGAACATAATAATCAGTGAGGCAAGAGGAATAAGGCAGCAGGTTGTGAGAACATAGTCGATCTAGATAGGAAATGTCATGTACAGCAATTGGAGAAATCGTGAGTGGAATGGTTATGTAATAGAAAATTAAAAGAGTTAAGGAACATGAGAGAGGGAGGGAGAGAGAACTGTAAATACCCGAGTAATAAGGTTTTGAAAATTCGAACAATACTGAGATTGTTTTTCAGTAGGAAAAGACACTCCCAAAGTAAAACCTGGAAGAAAAATCAATTGCTTAAATTCGTTCTCTTCAACTGCACCTGAAGAAATGGGAAAGGAAACGAGTAGAAGGGAGTGAAGCAGAAGGTCCTGGCTATATCATGGACCCCACCACATGCTAGACAATGGCTGTCACATCTTTTACAGATAAAGAACTTCCTGCCAAATTGTTGGTGATTTATTTACTGTGAGTAATATCTTCACTCACACCCATCAACAGAACAGTTTACATTTAACTATGAATTTATATTGAGTATGCCTAAATTCATTCAAGTGAAAATTGAAAATCAAAAAGTGGCAAATCTCGGCAAACTCAAACATATCTGTTCATGATAGTGCCGAGGAAAAGAATCATTCACGAGCAGAAATGTAAAATTTATTTTGCATGTAGGTGTGTCACACTCCTATTGGTAGAGGATTCTGCTTCATGATTACATCTTCATGCAGTGGCGTAAGTTCACGTGAGATTAGGTGAGAGTTTTCACAAGGCTGGCGTCTTGCAAATAGCTTTGGCATATCATGTGAACTCAAGATGAAAATAGCTATTCTGTGTGTGTGTGGGTATTTGTTTCATAAATGACTGATTCCATATGCACAGAACTACTGAGGAACTGTACCACCTCCTTAGCCCTTCCCCATGCACACCTCTGGTCAGAAGCTTAAGTAGCCAAACATTCTAATGACAGTTATACTAATAGAAACTTTACAGATAGATCTTCTGGCTCTTATTCGTTGTATGATGAATAGCAACATACTAAACTTACATCAATACTTCCTTTTCTTTTATGATGAGATTATTAAGGTAAATCACTGCATAACTTTAAATCAACATTTACTACTTCCTTCTCAACCCAAGAAAGTATCAAAATGCAATACATTATACCTGACATCTGAAACACTTATTACAACTTACTGATACTAAACTATCCACATTAAAATATATCTTCCTATTGTACAAAAATTCTATACTAACTGTTAAACACAGCCCATCTATAATCTGCACAAGTACACAATAATGAGGAAAGAAAATGCAAATATAAACATTTTTGATATCATTTTGTCACTGCTGGTTGAAACATCTTGTTGACAGTTGGATCCATTCTTTATTCTAGACTAACAAGTAAAAACTTGCACTTTGAAATAAGTACATTCTGAATGAACAACTACTAATACTTCAGTTGAAGAATTAACTCTGAAAAGAGTAAACTATTTCATAACATGCCAAAGAAAAGTAACAGATCAGAAAGACTGTCCTCAAACCAATTTTAACACTGTTAATGAATATATAACTGTTATATGTTAAAGTTTACGAAACCCTCTTATCTCTTTCACTGTAATTACAAAAATGTTATACACTACCAATGCATTCTTAGAACTCACATCTATAAATAAGACTATGTGAACATGAAACCAATTCTAGGCTTGGATGTGAAGGTATATGTAGCTCTTATTACAGTGGATTTCTGTCTATCCACATTCTTCAGAGGACAAGAGTCTGCATTCATGTGAAATCTGCAGATAAATGAGATGTCACTGCATGTAACTAGAATACACCAAATAAAATATAAATGAGACGTCACTGTAGATAATTAGAAGGCATCAAATAAAATATATAAAACACCATTTTATACCAAAATAATATTTACTGAAGATAGAAGGATACTTTAAAATGAGTTTACTTTTATATTACTTTATTTTTTACATTTAAATAAAATACATACCTATAAAAACATTATATTTTTTGTTTACAAAAATCACTTCTCAACTGCAGTATCTAACACATCATCTTTTGATGTTGTAGTACATTATTATTTCCTGCTTTCTGTTTACTCAGCCGAGTTGCCGTAAGGTTCGCCAATACAAATCTTTCAGCTTCCCTTCATTGTTCCTGATATTTCTAATGGTTGCCTTCCCATTTCTGAAATCCAGAGCAAGTTTTTTATATATCATTGTTGATGTTTCTTTTAAGCCTTTTGGCGATAATCAATTTCTTTTCCAAAATAGAAGTACCTGCCATTTTTGTTTTGGGCTCACTATTTCTGTAAATATACTGTTAAAATGTAGCACTTGTCTTTCATTCTATTTATATGTGTGTGTGGTAGACAGGCATGCATTATGCCTATATTGCCAATACAACAGTTATAAAACTGCAGAGGGGAGGATATATATTCAATTACAAATGAATTTCGAGTGGATAAATGAGATTCTACTATAATTGTTGTTGACTAGCTTAAATACAGTCAATACCAATTGGAAACTGTAACTAAAAACACTTTGCAATAGTACAGAAACATTTATACGATAATCAATAACTGTCCTATAAAGGTTATTAATGTGAACCTTTCATAAATACTTCTATGCTACTGGCCACACTAGTTATAGATGTCTAGTGAAAGAATTTGTTAATTACTACAGTAACTGAATCTGCACAGTACTGGTGAAGGAATTTTAACTATAATTCTGAATTTATGTGTACCTACCGGAAACTAGACAAGCCCTTAGTAAAATGTACAAGTCTGAATGTAAACAAAAAATGAGATGTGTTAAAAAAGTATTTGTACTCAGGATATGTCTCTGAATTGATGGTATGAGTCTGACTCAGACAAGTCAGAGTGCAAGGTAGTGTTCAAGTGAAGAATAAAAATACTTTTGTCCATGCATTAGCATAACCTCTAGAACCTATGAAATGCACAACCACAGTTTTCCCAGTACACCTGTATACCGTATCTGGTTTTTACTTACCTCTACTATGAACTGTTGCAAAATTAACAACATTGGTTAAAATGATAAAACTGACATCAAATACATAATATGTTGAATAGTACTCTGTAAAAGGTTGTAACATGCGCATTTTGATCCTCTCATTGCACTCATGCACTTAGGGTTAAATATGCTTAACTCTCAGGAACTTGTCAAGTAATCTGTGCAGTGGTTCACACAATATTAGTACAGCCTGATCTAGGACTTTTACTTTGAGTGTTAGTGACATTATCAAGGGGTATTTAGGAGAGTGATATCCCCTGGAAACTTTGCATTTTCTAGCTTAGAAAATACTGCAAACAGTCTAAAATGGGCATTGTTAATGTTTTTTTAACAATGAGTATAGATTTCATCACTTTGTACAGATCATGGTGAAATGTGATGAAACCTTGAATGGGTGACATTAAACATAGCATTAATTCCATTGCCTAATCAAAACATGCCACTGATCTCCAAAGCTATGTTCAAAGAGCAATTTTTCATTTTAATGTCACACAATACCTTGTGGAGGAGGTTTCCATTCATTTAACTGTTTTGTTAAGTAACATGTATACATATCTATATTTTTACAAGACAATGTTTGGTAAAGAATCAAAAAGTGTTTCTGGTGAAAAAAATTCTCTGAACATAATGACAAACAAACTGATAATAACTGAATAAGTAACTGTGAATTTGGGCATAACCAACATCATAAGTCACCTACTGTAGTTTAGACCCTGACTGGTACAGTAACACAATGAATCAGTTTTTTTTTTATTCCTTGGATTTATGATCAGAAGAGGTTTCATTTATATGAACAGGTTAGATTTTAAGTAACAGTAGGATACTTTGATAGAGCCAAAGGCCTTATTTGCTTAGCTCGTAAATAATCTGTACCAATTTTCAAAATAAATGCTTATTAATAACTTTCCTAAAAATCATAGTCCATAATTTTCCATGAAGATGTTAACATTCCCAGACCATCAACATGTATTAAGAGTAATACATGTATAACTGCTACAACAGATTACAAATATCTAAACATTTTCAATAAAACACTGACTCTACAATAGATTTATATATGGAAATAATTACCCTTCTAATAAAAAATAATTACTAAATATGCACAGAAATAGTCACTTTTTATATATATGATGTCCCACTTAAACTGTCTATGAGATGTATTCTAGTAATCAAACAACTATACAGTCTTACTTCACTATGTACTTTTAATCACAAATACTTTTACTTCACAGAAATGTTACAAACATTATGTTTCCGTTGAATAATACAGATGTATGAATTGTATTTTACAAGGATGACTGGTAAGGTAACTGGGCTTTTCTGGTTATTTCTTAACTTTGGAAGTTTCTGGGCTATATTCCTAAAGTCATTTTATTTATCAAAGCAACATTTTGCTTACTGTACATTAACAAAACACTTATAACTGAAACCAGTTGCCTTACTATAGCCCAGAAATTGGCTAGCATGTGTTAACCTTTTCAAACATGAACTGATCATGTATGTTTAAAATTAAAAAGGTTTAATCAGAATATTATAAAGTAATAACATCATGAGGAGAAAGAAATTACTTATGAAAAATAACAATAACAGCTAAATGTGAAAAATTAAATATTTTTCTTTACATGTAGAATGTCACACTACCTTTTTTCTCAACATAGTTTATGCATTATGCATGTACGTAAACAAATGTAGCATAATATGCAGACATGAACCACATAGTCCTTAAGGTTGTCCTTGCATATTCACCATTGAGAAAGCAAAGTTTTCAACCCACCATTTACTTTAAGGAAGCAATCAATTCCTCTCTTTAAACTCTCCTGAGGTGCTGTACTCTACTACTACTGACCGCACTCATTCCACAGGTTAGTAAAATAAAACTGACATAACTGAAGGCTAGTTCGTCTTTTCCAAATCTGAAAGTTGTGTCTTTTAGTCATACTGTTTTTAGTATACAGAACAAAGCACATAGAAAGTAATATTCTATTGAAAGAAACAATGGGGCATGCAGAATTGAATGACAAAACTACTATAAGAAAAACAAATGACAAGATGTTACAACTTAGCATCTCTAACATTTGGGGATATTTATTTTTTAGCTGCATTTAAAAACAGAAAAAAAATATCAGATTTCTACTCCTACTATTAGCAAATAGATATCTTTCTCTAAAAAGATACATCATAAGTCTGGACAAAGTCACAGAAGTTTTTCACCGTTTGCTACCTTTATTTAAAATACATTTATTAAATCTATTTTCAATGATGTTAACTTGAGAAAAAATTAGGAAACATATTCTAAGGTTACTTCAGAATATAATGTATGCACAAAACTGATTTTTTTTATATCTTAAACCTTGCATTAAATTGTAGAGAGCACTCTACTGATTGTGAATACACTATACCAATTATTTATAACATGCCGTTTTGTAAGTATTTTTTAATGTACCTTAAATATTTTTGTTCAAAAAAATTTATCATAAAAAAAATTTCTTCCCCCTCTACTTACTTAAAAAAACCATTCAGTATTGTATTGATTATGAACAGCTCACCTTGTTTAACGTACATGACTCAAACAAGTAAAACAGCATTAAGGAAGAGGCAATTGAAAGTGTAAACTGTACATCACAAAGGTGTGGCATTAACTTTCAAAGAAACTTTCCTAAACAATAAACATACACAATATGTACACAGCCTGAATATGCAGGAACATTAGTTATGATGTAAACACAAAAAATAACAAAATATTAGTGGTTTCTTTTTACACAAGTCATGAAGCTATAAAAATACTACAGTCCACCAACCACTTGAACTCTAAATTAATCCACGAAGTTTCTTGTACTCCTCCAGATTTAAGGACCGTCTTGGTGTATGCTCTTTGTTAGCAGATGACGCTCTTGAAGCTCCTGAAGATGCACTTGATGACAGTGGAACATCCAGATCAATTTTAATGTCAAAATCATGGGCTGAAAAAAGATCTTCTTCTGTACGTGATTTAACTTGATCTTGAGTATCATTTTTTTTAATATCAAAATTTTCTTCTTCTTCAGCCTTTCTAAGTTCTCTTTTCTCTTCCTCTTCTTTCTCCTTTAACTGCACTCTTTGTTGTTCTATTTTTCTCAGAATTTCAGCATTTATAACAGATTCACGAGTTTTTGTTACTAAAGTAGGAGCACACTTTCTCCGGGTGAATGGGTCATCTGAAATTTCCCTTGGTTGTCTTGATTCTTCAATTATAGCCTTTTCAGCTTCCATAATGTTTCTCTGTCTGTTACGCTCATTGATATAGCTTATTGCACTAATTGTACTGGTCCTCATTTTATCAAGTTCAATGGCTCTTTCTTCAAGCTGTTCAAGCTCACCAATTAGTTTCTGTGCTTCCTCTTCATCCCCATTTTGTTCTGCCATTTCTTTCAGTTTCAATAAATGTGTTTTCTTCATAGCATAGTTATGGGGGTTCTTTTTGAACCTCTGTTTTTCCTTAACAATAGACTCTATATCATCTTCTCTGTATTCATAATTTAGAGCTTTCTCAATATCTTTCAGTTTTTGACTTACATGCTCCAATGTTGGCAGAGGAGTACTATCCAATGCAAGAGCTTCATGCCACTTAAAATATTCAGTGTCTGTGAAGTCTTGATTAGAGACAAATTCAAGGCGAAAAACTCGTTCTTGACTTCCATGCCGTAGCTTCAACCCTTTATTTGTACGAGAATTCCCTAACTGATACACTTTCCCTGTTTCCACAACATCAGTGATTTCAGCTACTCTGTATACAGGTCTTCCATTATGTGTCCCAATGCCTATACGGACAAAGCAGCCTATTACTGTTTTTCCAAAGAAAGGTGCATGTACCCATCTTTCAAGTTTATGCCTGGAAAGTCGAATTTTGCTCAGTTCTTCTCTTGTTGAAATATAATGAGGCTTTTTAGCATCTTCTTCTTCATCCTCACTGCGTGAACGATATGACCCTCCACTGTCTTCATCTTGGTCAGATGGACTACCTTCATCTTCATCATCATCTGAATAGACATCACTAGCTTTCAGTTTTGACTTAACTGCTTGCTGAGTCTCTTCTTCTTGTTCTTCATCATCATCTTCATCCTCTTTTTGTTGATCTGGTTCTAATTCTTTTTGGTTAAGAATTTCAGCTTGTTTTTTCTTCTTTTCTCTCTCAGCTTTAAGATCTTTTATAGCTTGTGCTTTTTTATCCAATTTATCTTTGTTTTCTTCTACTTTTCTCCTTCTTTCCTTACTTCGAGAACTTGCATCAATCTTAAGCTTTACATCACTTTTCTCCTTCTTTCTTTTCTGTTCTTTTTTCTTTGCCATTCTCAGCTTTTTTTCAATCTCAAATCTGGTTCTTAAAACTTCTCGCTTTTCAATTCTGTTAAATAACTCTTGTTCCCTTTCTTTTTCTGTCATTTGAGCTAAACGTGCTTGGTCTTCCTCGTCTCCCATCAAATTCTCATCATAACCATCATTAAATTCTTCCTCATTAAGAGAAGAAACTGCACTTTCTGAGCCATCAGAATTTTCGCTTTCTGAATCAGAAACTTCCCCTTCCTCTGGTTCAGAACTAGCATCTTTTTCACTTGTAGTTGTATTTTCTCGGTTTGCATTTGTTTTTGGTATTGATTTTGACTGAGATTTTTTCTTAGTCTTATTATTACTCCCTTTTCCACTAACAGTCCATTCATCATCACTCTCTGATGTTTCTGAATCTGATTCACTGAAATGTTTAGTGTTTTCCTTGGTAGAAGTTTTTTCAACATTTTCCACTTTTGCTGCATCTGTCTCTTCACGATCGCTTCCAGTATCTATACGCTTTCTTTTCGCAAGAGACAACAGTTCTTCATCCAAGTTTTCTCCACTGTCGCTGTCTTCACTGCTGGAGTCAATAACAACTCTGTTCTTACGTTTACTCATCTTTTATGTTAAATAACACCCACTAAAAATTGTGACAAATTATAACCACGCTTAACTTAAGCCTTAAGTTAAAAGTTATACCGTATCATGTAGGTTTACTTACGACTTTCGTAAATGGCGTCTCACTTTGTTTTCTGCGCCACCTATTTCCTTTCGTTTTGAATACTATAAAAGGTGATCAATTCAGGTATTGCTACAAGCTGAAAACTACTTTAAACACCTAATCGAGCTTCGTATTTTTAGAACAAGTACAAAATAATGTATTTTTCAGTCAAAACCGTATTTCGATTTATTGTCAAAGTAAGTGCTAAATGTATTTTAATTTTCTTATGTGATAATTCGTTATTCCTTCTATGTCCACGCATCACGTTTTGGGTATCTAATCAAAGTCACAAGATTAAATGTTCGTGATCGAAGCAGGTTAAACTTTAATTTAAAATAGAAATTAAAGTAGATACAATTAAGTTGTTTTGAATCCAATTATCTATATCGGTCGAAAAGTTCAGTATAATAATGGGTACTTTGGCGTACGTACAAAATGTTGTTTATCTTACTACGCTTTCTGTGATCGTTTTGATTGGTAAGCAAAATTGTGTAACTTATTGAAGTTTTTGAGTGTATTGCTAGTGTATTTACAAATACAATGTAACCAATGGAAATAGCATTTAAGTAACTTAATTTAACTTCTGTAAAAATTTTAACTTTTTATAAACAAGTTAAGGTAGCGATTGGGGTATGGAAATTAGTGTTCATCGATTAAAGCTCCAACACTTCTTAATTGTAATTTTGCAAGTATAATGTTTTTAAGGCAAGATGTATGACTTACATTTCAAACTTCAAAATTTTGGTTTGTTTTTTAAATATGTTTGAAGTTGTATCTTTTGTCATGTTTTTTCTTTGTTTAGATATTAAAACTCTTTCAGTAAACTTGGTACTAACAGTTATTCATTTCCTGGTTTCTGTATTGTTACATTTTGAGTTATTGTGCTTTTTCACATTTAACACTTTACAAAAGCTATGAACTATGAACGCAGTTTTGTTTTATCGTAAGGGATATCAGTATAAAGTATCATACACTGAGGTTTGTAAATTGAACATGATTAAAACATGGTAACGTGTTGTGTTGCCAAAACATCCTGCTGCAGGACACATCGTGTGTTATTAACAGGAATGATAGTTTTGCAATTTTCTACTTTCTGGAGCTTGGACTGTGGTAATCCAAACTGTTACATATTTTCAGTGGTTGTGTGCTACTGGACCCTAAGTTCATGTACCAAATTTCAAGGCAAACCATTAAGAAATACACAAGAAATAAAACCTCCAATTTTAATTGACTTTCTTCCTTTTTGTTTCTTTGCACCAAAAGTATGGAAAATTTATTTTATAGAAAAACATACTTAACTTTTATAGATTTTTTTTCAAATTTGGTACACTGAAAGATCTTATTTATTTTAAAGAAAAACATAATTAACTTTTATAGATTTTTTTTCAAATTTGGTACACTGAAAAATCCTTACAACCAACAATTAGGTGTTAAATTTGGTTTCAATATAAGCCACATGTGTAAAGTTATTCAACAACAACTGCTCAACTTTGACTAAAATTTATGGTACACCTGTGGAAAAAGTCACATGAGCTATCGGTGTAAAATTTTTACTACAGCTTCTCCTAAGAATAAAAGAGGACTGTCTTTATATTTTGTTTTTTGGATTAAATATGGCTGATTTAGAGCATCAAAACTATGGGGTGAACACACATGCAGATACATAAGTATTGGTTAGGCCAAACAAACTAGAGTATCAGTTTCTGACACAAGTTTTCAAAAGAATGATATAGGTGGATGGTTATCATTCAGTATTTATTGCTTACTTTTAAGGACAAGTTTGCTAAATTTTATGAAATTCTCCTAATTAAAGTGTTTAGTGTCACATGATATTAGCTTAAGCAATTAGCATAAATTATGGTACTTGATACAGCTGTACTGAGTGCATGTGTGTGATGAAAGAAACTGTTTATCTAGATACCATGGCTTTACTATAAAGAACATTATTAACATTGTTTTAGAGAAAAAAACTACCACCATATATTGTAAAGAAACTGATTGGTTCTGTAAATTATGGGTCTGTTCCGAACAATAGGGTTATGATCCTAAAGCTAATGTTGTTTACTATCGAGTGTCACTTTCTTACTTGATGTGGTTTGTTGGTGTGTATTGACTAAAAGTTATTGTATCAAATCAAAAATATTTTAGGTGTCAAAAGAAGGTGTGGCTAAAAAAGGATTGAGCATGTGACTTAACCCTTTCGAGACGGGACATGGGTGAAAGGCTATGTGATTTCATTTGTTGACTCGCATTCAAAATTTTATTTAACAAGTATTTTATGAATTTATGTCATAACTTTGGTATCAATATGTAGATTATAATTGATATGTTAGTACTATATATTACTAAATTTCTTAATTGAAAAGTAAATATAAAAAATACACAGATAAACATTGATTTTTGTGTGTCATGTGGTATGTTGAATGCAGCTCTGGTTCAAATTAGATGTTTGTGAAGTCAAAATACTAAGTCTATAGTTTTGTACAAATTAGAAGTTCAAATTACCAATATTTACAAGCTAGAATATAAAATAAGAGCCTCTTAACTTTTCAATTTGCTAGGATATTGCTCATGTAATATATCAAACACAGTAGCACCACACACACCTCTTTACATTTTTGGAAATGCTCCCTTATATACACTTACTTCTATATATGATATGAATAACCAATCTGAAGCTCAGAATGTCCCACTAGTGGTTTTCTCAGCCATTTTCACAGGCTTCATGCCATTTCTTTTTTTTGAACCAATATTTCAACAAGGTAAGGTGTGTCTTTGGTCTTCTCAAAATTTCATATTTTTTAGACTAAAATACATCTTTTACCCTCCATCATGCCCCTAGTTGAGTAAAAAATGTGGCCTAGCTGACTAATGAATGAATATCTACTATAAAATTCTTATCAATGCTATAAGTCTAGCTACCAGTTTTGCTGCCAATTTTGGTTTTATTCCTTAAAGTTGCATGTTTAGACCTTTTTTTTGGCCACACCTTTTTTCACACCTAAGGTGTTTTTGATTAGGTTAGTACTGATACATCCATTGTAATTATTTGCACAAATTTATTTACATGTTATTATGATTTGCAATCATTGCTTGCTAGATAGCAGTATAAATGCTGGTTGTGCTGATCTTTATTGGATTTAATCTGGTTGTTATAAACACTGGAGAAAAGTGTTACTATTCTTTACTGAGTTTCATTGAAATGATATACACAACGTGGTCACAAGTAAATAGACACCACCTTTTCAGAAAAAATGAAATTTTTCAG